GCTCAATTAATCGATAGAATATTTGATAGAATACTCGATTACCAAAATATTCGATAGCTGCAGCCCTACTGACAATTACTTTGGAATATAAGTAAAACAATCAATCAAATATTTGGGGGCCATTATTTTGTTGTGTTGTGTTTATGACAGTGGAGCTCACCCTCTTGTTCGATCCGTTGTCCGTTTCCCACCAGACAGTATTTGAGGTCCGCACCTCGGCCAATGACAGCATTACTGCAGATCACGCTGCCCTGGATGTTACATCTGGAAATGACAAACACAAATGACATTAATTACATTCAGCTTTTATTTTCTATTAATGGTTCCAAACTTGGGTGTTGGGACTCCCCATGGGTCCCCAAGATGAATCTGAAGGGTTAAAAAACAGCAATAGAAATAATACTTTCACCTCTTTTGGACTCTAAAAACCCTTCAAGTGAAACAATCTGAGAAGCAAACAGTCAGATACATACAGACCTGAAAGTGGTTAGCCAGTGATTCATTTCTGGTACCGACTGATAGCCGACAAACTAATTAAAGATTAATATTTTGCTGGGATAGGTTTGGTCGTGTTAAAACATGATCTTTCCGACTCTGTTTGCTCTTTGAGCCCGCTGGAGATTCGAACATGTTTATGGTTCACATTCTGTTTTCTTCCTTGTACTTTATTTACACATGGGCACGTACACACAGTTAAGAACATTCATACTGGGAGCTGCCCAGTGCAGCCACAGCCTTCCACTGTTCAGCTTCTCCACTTGCACAGTTGTGGAGTCAGTGCCACACTGGAGGTCAAACTGACAGTAGGAACATTCAGCCTGTTTCCCCATCAGGGATCCTCCCACCTGCCCTGAACACTAAAACATATCCAATCAACTAAACTTAATGACGTGACATTAGCATATATATTAAAGAACAACAGCAGCCAGCGCTGTGTGCACGTGTGTGTGTGTGTCAAGACATTGTTGGCCCTGTGCTGCAGTCCCACCTGAGCTGGCGCTGCCAACCTACCGTTCGCGCTCACATTCAGCCAAACCATCACCATAAAATTCTTGGAGGGGAGACACAGACAGTCTTGACACAGACAGTGTGTGTCCAGTGTCGGCTAACCGTGGAGGGCGTGTATATGTAAGTGTGTGTGTGTGTTAGAGACTGTGTGTTTCAGTAGCTTGGGGAGCCCGGTGGAGAACACATGTTGGTCTTGCCCAGGCAGTGACGCACACACACTTGGCCCCTCGGCACCTCACACACACAGACAGGTTTGTATTGGCCCATTCTATTCAGGTGGTTAGGCCTGGAGGGAGAGGGAGAAAAGAGTGTGTGTCTGTGTCCGTGTGGCTGTGTGTGTGTGTGTGTGTGTGTGTGTGCAAGTGACTACCTAGGAGGTGGCGGTGGTAGTTGGTGATGGGAGATTACAAGATTCAGAGTTTTGTAACATTAGAGAGAGAGGGAGAGAGAGAGACCACCAACATCAACACCATCACCACCGTGCAGGAAAAGAAAAGCGGCTGCCCCCTCAGAGACCATCCCCGACGCCCACACTTCCGGACTGGAGCCTCTGGAGGCAGCTGTGTCGGGATGCATCCGTCTCCCGGTGCTGCTTGAGATGAGGATAAGACGACGACGTCTTCCCCGGTGAAACGGCGATGCTCTCTACGTTACATTAGACCCTGCCCGTTACAACCTGAGCAGAACCGATCAAGATCGCCGCGGCTGTGCGCTCTACACTCAAGAGGGGATCCAGGCTTTGGCCATACTGTCTGTCTGCTGTCAACTGTTGCTTATTTCCACTGTAAATGAATCTTGTAAGGTAGGTGAAACCATATCGTGTGATAATGCAGTTTAGGAGAACAAAACCAAGCTCATAAACTACAAGTATTTACCATATTGCTGCTTTAAACAGTGATTTTAATGGTGATGATGATGAGGAGGAGGAGGAGGATGCTGAGGATGATGGAAGGGTTTGAGAATGAGCTGTTAAAAAAAGTCAACATTTACATTTAAACATATCTTATGATGTTATAATCTTGTACCCAGGTGGTTGTTTGCTTGATAAGCATTATTATTATTAATAAAACACGCACCTGCCACTTCCCTTTTCCCCCTCCTCCTCCTCCTCTTCAACATCATCTTGCTGCCTTTTCTGTGTGCACAGTCCTCTTGAAACACACAATAGGCCACACAAGCACACATCCTCCTTTCGACTTCTATTTACACATGAAATCCCACTGGGTCTGGGTCCAGGCTGTCTTGGAGGAGGAGGGGGTGTATGGATGGCTTCACAGCAGGAAGAGGTCAAACAGAGTAGACTGGGACTGAAACTCACAATTATTTTCATTGCCAGTTTATGTGCTGATCGTCTGCTCTGTAAAATGTCAGAAACCAGCACATAATGTCCGTCACAAGTTCCCAGAGCTCAGGGTGACACCCTTTAAGGGTTTTTCCGACAGTCCAAAAGCCCAAAGAGATTTAATGTGCACTGATATAAAACAGAGCAAAGCAGTAAATCCATATCTGGGAAGCTGGAACCAGCATATTATTTGGGTATTTTAGTAACTGAAACAGTTAATCAATTATCAACATTTTTATAAACGCAAATGTTTTCTGTTCACCATTAGCAAAATCACCTTCAGCTTATACATAAAATCAGATTTCATGTGTGTTTAATGTGATGCTTTGAGGCTGTAGGCAAATTATCACATTGAAGTTGTTTTGAATATGATTTGAGTACAAAGCATCCATATTTCAACTGTTTATTATTTTTCTACAAAATATGAAAATCCTTGCTTTCTTTTGTCAGAGGACTGTTTTGATAATTGATTCATTATTACAGTTGTAAGACAAATTGTAAATATTCTCCAGTTCAAGCTTTTCAAATGTTAAGAATTGTTGCCTTTTCTGTATTTTATATAATTTTAAATTGAATATTTAGTTTTCAGATAACATTTCTTTTGTTTGTTTATTATGTGGAACAATTAGTCAAACAACATAATTTACGTATTAATCAATAATAATTTTTACTGCCCTATCATTTTAGAATATTGGGCTACTACATTTTCAGTATCGATTTTAATACATTCATTGTTCAGTCTTTAAAAGATCAGACAGAGGAAAAAATGACCCGCCCACAATGTCCCAGAGCACAAGGTGACATCTTCATTTTGCTTGTTTTGTCTGAACAACTGTCTAAAACCCAAATATATTTAATTTACAGTGTTATAACGAAGAGAAAAAACAGCAAATCTTCACATTTAGGAGGCTGGATCCAGAAAAATATTTGGTATTCTTGTTTGATAAATGATCATAATTGTTGCAGATTAAATTTCCATCAATAGATCAATTATTTAACAAATGTTTACACATTTTCTTCCTTTTATTACTGTATATACTTGATGTATTTGCACAAAGAGCAAGACTTGCTTGATCAAAATATTTTCTGTAATATTAATTTAATGTTCAGCATTAAGTGGACAGAGGTTGTGGTCTTCATGGTTCAGTGAGACAGCCGAAGCAGAGAGCGTTCCTTCTGTCCGTCCTGCTGTCGTATGAGAAGAGTTATCATGATGTTTCCACAGCTCTGCTCCTCTCTGTCCAGTTAGTGTGTCTCTCTGCCTGGCCTCTGGCCTGGTAATTATCAGCCAGCTTGATAAAGTCATTAATGACCCGGCCAAGCCTGCTGGGCCTGGCGCTGACACACACACACACACACACACCAAAGAGAGAGTCAGTGAGACAGTGTAAGGCCAGTTGGATACAGGGCGAGGAAGTCTTTTTATATGGGACAGGACGGTGTGTTTCTGGGTTGTGTCAGTTAGTATTAATAACTCTGAATGAGTGTCACTCTAAAAACAGCTGCTTAAGGAACAGGCACTCAGTGTAGGAGAAAGTGAAAAGAAAAGATGAGGCATGTTTGTTAAAGATTAATTTTTTCTGTGATTGTCATTACATGAGGTGGATTTTGAGCCTTCTATTGCCGCTACTTTATGTTTATCCCCCCTCAGTATCTCTGTAGAAGGAGTGTCATATTTAAAAAGGTATGAGCTGACGTGTGGGAGGAAAACATCATGTTCCACTGTTTCACACTGTTGCACAACAACACAGTGATATAAGATGGACAGTTTTAAGGGTAATATCTCTCCACTTGGACTGAAAACGTTCTGTAGGCTTCTCTTCTTCCCTGTCCAGATGGCACATAAATGCATAGCTCAATATATATGAATGGATTCTACCTTTGGGCTGAAACATCTTAAGGTTTGAAAGAATGACTTGATTGTCCTATGCACAAAAATTCATATATATGAATTTTTTATTTGAGTGGTATTCCCTTTGATGGCGGTCGCTTTCTGGTTTTGAGTCCTTCCAATCTTAGAACAAAGTGTGTGTGTGTGTGTGTGGGGGGGGGGGGGTGAATGTGTGAATGTGTGTGAGAAAGAGACATCACTAAATCTAGGTCTCTTATGAAATCTGGCTCTGCAAGATGCAGAATATAAACATGGGAGGGGTTGTGGTTTGTGAGCGTGTGTGTGTTTTGTGTGTTCACATGGACGTCTTTGTCCATTTGCTTTCCTGCATGTTAATTTAATCATCGGAAATGCAGAGAGGAGTCATGGTCGGGGAGCAGGAGGGGGAGATGGAAGAGATGAGGAAAGAAAGATGAAAGAAAACGAGGAGTTTTCTGGTGTGGAAAAAAAGAAGAAAAAAGAAGACAATCCCTCTTTGGTGGTTTCCATGACGACAGTGACATCACTGATGGAGTGCTACCTCCTGAGCTGTTTGTTTGTGTTTCTGTGAAAATGTTCAAAAGCATAGATTTGTGTGTGTGTGTGTGTGTGTGTGTGTGAGAGAGAGAGAGAGTATACAGGCATATATGCACATGTGAATTGTTTATGAAAGAGATCATCAGGACAAACCTCTGGTTCAGTCGGTCCATGGTTACCCGCTGTTGCCAGGCAACAGCAGTCATGGCAACAAGTTGAAGCATGATCCGGCGTTGCTAAGCAAAGGGACAGGATGGGGTGAAATTTTACGAGCAGCGTTGAGATACGAGTGGATACAAATATTGAAGATGTTTCACATGGTTTTAGAACATTAAGATGCAAAAACATTTAAAAATCGAAACAAAATAGCCCAAATGAAACGCTTAGGATTCCCACAAATCAATAATATTGTTGCTTTTTATTCTAATTTGTATTATTTCCATCTCTCCTAGTGTGCACAGTACGCCTCATTGTTGCATGGAGCAAAAACTAACTGCAGATTTTAGTTTATATACGAAAAAACTCATTGAAATATATATATAAATTTAAATCTGCTCATTTGTGACTATTCCAGGTTTATGAACAACCGTGTTCCTCCTAACAAGAGATACCAGCCCACAGAATATGAGCATGCTGCCAACTGTGCCACGCATGCGGTGAATGCACACTCACACACTCACACACGCGGACCACAGAAAGTGATCAATAACATGAGCAACATACAGATGAAATGACACACTCAGTGAAAACTGGAGAAAAAAATCCAGCAGTATAACATAACGGATAAATGAAAGACACCTACACATTTTTTTTTTAAACTACACCTACGTCTTGCACTAGATTTCAGTTTATCCTGCATGTTTGTCTGCGTGTATCTCATGTTTCATTTATGTTATGAATTCATTTAGTTATGGATAATCCCCAGCCTGCTGGGCAGCTCAGTGTTGCACTTCCAGTCGGAGGATCAATGGGAGCGACTGTCGGCCTGGGTGTACGGGGCGGGTCTCAGCTCGCTCTTCATCATCTCAACCCTATTCCACACTGTGGCCTGGAAGAAGAGCCACTTACGGTACGCACAAACACAAACACACAAACACACAGGCACATCAGAATATTTGGATCGTAACGTTGTAGATGATGAATATGGTTAAAGGATGTAAGAAGACTGCATGGTCCCTTTTTACGTCCTCTCACACATTCACACTGGAACAAATAATATGTATCCCCACACTCCAGATTTGTTTTTGTGATCTAAAACACACTGATGCTACATGTATAAACAGTGTCACTCAGTTGTCTTGAGGCTGTTTGGTCTCTCTCTTCAGGTCTGTGGAGCACTGTTTCCACATGTGTGACAGGATGGTGATCTATTTCTTCATTGCTGCCTCCTACGCCCCGTGGTAAACAAACTAGCCTGCTATGTGTGTCTATGTGTGTGTGTGTGTGTGTGTGTGTGTGTGTGTGTATCTATATATGTATAAGGAGTGTGTATATACAGTGTTCGTAGTTATTTGTTCCTGTTCATGCTTCACCAGGCTGAACCTGCGGGAGCTCGGTCCCTGGGCGTGTCACATGCGCTGGTTGGTGTGGGTCATGGCCTCTTTTGGAACCACCTACGTGTTCTTCTTCCATGAGAGGTTGGTTCGTTTACTTACATTTGTGCATTTTAATTTGTTCCTCCAGTGTGACAAAATAACCTCAACTCAAAGGTCCACTTACAAGCTTTTTCCAAACTTACAACTGCCTCCCATGATCTTCACTGGCGAATGGAGCTGGCTCAGGTGTAGAGATGTACTAGTCCTAATTTCTCTCGCCTGAATAGCCGATACCTAGTACTGATCTAATACCAGTGTCCTTTTTTTAGCTTTGACCAGCAGCTGTACAGCTCGCTTTGTTGGTCGGTCGGTTGATCAATTGGTTGGTAAAATTGTTTTTTGCCAATTCACCTCCGTGTTTTTCATTGTTAATAAGATGTAACATCAGTGCTTGTGTCCTGAACTACACTACCTTATCACACTTTGTTAAAAATGTAATAGAATGGATTTCATTATTTAGTTTCAAAACAACCTTTGGACAAAAAGTGCAGAAATTTCTTTTACCAATATTTGAAAAACTATATGGAGTACATTTTTGCTAACATTAGCTGCCTGCAAAAGTCATTGTCAACACTTAGATTTCACAGTAAAGGCCGATCACTGCCTTAACATTAAAATGCATTTATTTTGAAGTACATACAGGAAGTGGTGAAGTATCAGTGGTACTTTTACACATGTTAATTTAGCACGTGCACAAACTTAAAACTATTTAATGTGACTGACTCACTGAGGTCAGCATCCGCGCTGATACCAAGTGTAAAAAGTTGGCAGTGCGGCATCAGACCTCAACATAAAACCACGATGGACAAAGCTAACAATATGGTTGGGCTGTCAGAACTTCTAGAGAGTCTCCCCTGGAAGGAAACTCAGAAAAAGCTCTGTTGTGACATTATTTTGTCCCAAGGTTAAACATAATCTTCCATGTTCCTCTCTGTATCAGGTATAAGATCATGGAGTTGATCTGCTACACGGTGATGGGAGTTTTTCCTGCCTTGGTGATCCTCTCAATGGTGAGCACACTCGTTTAGTCTCACCTGTAGTCTTTGAGGTGTTGTCATTTCCTTCCTTGTAATGTCTTTAAAACTTAAACATGATTCAAATTTCTGCTTCTTCCTAGCCGGAGCAGTCGGGATTGTGTGAGCTGCTTGTGGGTGGAGCCTGCTACTGTCTGGGGATGGTCTTCTTCAAAAGTGATGGCATTGTACCATTCGCGCATGCCATTTGGCACCTGTTTGTAGCTATGGGAGCAGCCATACACTACTACGCCATCTGGAAGTACCTCTATGCCCAGCCACCCAATCAGGTCCAGACCTCCAGATGACATCAGCACTGACCTCACAAGAAGTAGCTCCTGTGTTTGAGCAACTTCAAGGGGGTGATGTGAGCTCTGTCCCAATTCAGGGGCTGTCTCCTTTGTAGGCTGAACCTCTTCCCCAAATAAGATGGTGTAGCTTCACAGAAACAGAAACCAGTGGTGCATTCAGGAGATCCTCCTTAACCCATAAAGTCAAACAAATCCATGTTCATCACTGGGAAGTTGGACTCAATCAGCCGGCAAAGTTATAACAAGACTAAGAGTTCACAGTCATGCTAGCAGATCGATGAGGCAGTACCATCAACATATAAAAGATGGACGTTGAGTCTCCACTTCCTGCCTTTGTACAAAAATGAAGCCAAAATATTCCAATTCACCCGTGTTGTGATTCAGTGCCTGAGTCTTTATAGCTTCAAATAATGAATTAGAACCAAACTTATCAGGAAAAATTAACATATGAACATACATCAGTGTTATAAGAACTACCTAAAATGACAGAAACCATCTTTGGAAAAACATTTATTTGACGTGTACTCCCATCTGCTAACATGAGGGGTCTATGACCTACACTGCAACCAGCCACCAAGGGCAAGCGGGATGTTTTGGCTTCACTTTTGGGGAGCAATCATGTCGTCCATCTTTTATATGTGATCGGCTGAGCTAAATGCTAATGTCAGCATGCTATCATGCTCATAGTGAAAATGCTAACATGCTGATGTTTAGATGGTATAATGTTTCTTGATTAGCACTAAACACAA